GGGGGTGGGGGCTTTACCCAGAATATCTAGTTTTGTGCAGAATATTTCCTCCCCACCGAAGGGGATTGCAATGAAGTTGATTTCTTCACCGGCTAAACAGGGCCCCTCTTAGGATGTTATATGTTATATTAGATGTTTCCAGGCTTGTGAAGGGAAATCCAGGGATTGTGGCAGCAGCTAAAGGAGAGAATATATGCAGTTCCCTCTTGAACTAGTGGGGGGGGGGGGGGCCTGGGGGCTCTCTGTGCTTGGCTGCTTCCTTGAACAAGTTTCATTATCCCCTTAGCACTGAAGATGTTCCCTAGTTGGGTCATGAAATGTCTACAAGAAAACAGCCAGGCTCAGAGCGCCCCAAAAGTTGAAGGGGTTTTTATACCAGGCCTTGTTCTCAGAGACAGGCTTGAGGGGGAGGGGGGCTCCCCTGGGCCAGCACTGCAGATGTTTCCAGAGGGGGGGGAGGCCCTTCTGGAAAGCATCCACAAACCAACATCCTTGCCCTGATGGCTGCAGACGTGGGAATAGCGCCTCAGTTTGATGTGACAGATGTGCAACTTGACAGATGTGGCAAGAGAGAAATGCCCTTCTGCCAGACCACGAGGAGCTCTGATTACCAGACCTCCAAAATATGTATATGTTTTTATTTCTAAAAATGTTGCAAGAAAGCAAAAGGAAGGAAGCTGGAAAGAACGTGAAGGCAGGGTCGGAACTGATGCAAGGGTGAATTTTGCTTGCTTGTTGCTGTGTTATTTGTAAAGCGCTTAGAGAGGGCTGGGAAGCAAGGTATAAGTGTAAGAGCCACAAGAACCAGGCCTTCCCAGGGCAGCCGCTCTGTGGGAGGGGGGAATGAGAGCAAAGCGGGGGGCCCTTGCTCAGGAAATCCTGGTGCAGGTTGGACCCAAGGGAGAAGAGCGCTGAAAGGGGGTCAGGCCCAGAGAGAAGCCCCAGGCCCAGAGGGTGCACCAGCCACACCCACTTTCGGCAGAGGGAAGGGAGCATCAAGGGGGGCTCTTCCTTGTGGGTCTCAGCCTGGGCCCAGGACACACCCAGAAAGCCCTGCTGCCCGGCGGCCTGATGGCCCCCCTCCTGTGGGGAAGGCGAGGGAGCCTGGATCCCGGCCGAAGGAGACCCGGCCAAGCTTCAAAGGAGGCAAAGCCAGGCGGGCGAGGAGGCTTCCTGGGGTGACGGCAGAGAGGCTCGGCCGAGGAGCATGTTGCTGCCTGCTTTCTGGTGGTGGCATCCAGCTGGAGAGACTGGTTTGGGATTCAGCCGTGGATCCAGCAGGAAGCCTTCCCAAAGGGCCTGGGCCAGGTGGGGCGGACTCCCGGCCCCACCTGGCTGCAGTCGAAGGGCTCCTGCAACATGGAGGGAGCCATTTTACCCGGGGCCAGGAATGTCAGGGTTTCCCCCGTCAACTTCTCTCCCTGATGCTCCTTCTGATTAAGAGATCCTGGGTGGAAAAAGGGTTTGAAGACCTGAAATGCCTCTGAGCGCGTGCAGAGGGCTTGGATAACCTTTGTGCCTAGGATTAAAGCGGAGAACTCCAACCTTGGGAAGTTTTAAGACTTTTGAACTTCAACTCCCAGAATTCCCTAGCCAGCACTGGCTGAGGAATTCTGGGAGTTGAAGTTCACAAGTCTTAAAGTGGCCAAGGTTGGAGAGCCTGGACTAGAGGACACGCCCCCTTCCTTGGGATGCAACTCCCAGAGCGGCTCCTCCTCCTCTGCTTTCTAGGAGACCCCCAGGGGACGCCAGTGGCTTGGAGCCCTCCTTCCTTGGGGCCAGCGTGGCCTGCCATGTCCATCATGGTGGAGAGAATGGCAGGCGATGACATCATCCTCCAGACGCGCCAGGTGATGCAGGGCCTGGAAGCCCTGCGCAGCGAGAACCGGAGCATCCGCCGCCAGCTGCAGGAGGCTCTGCTGAAGGAGCGGCAGCTGATGGACGAGCGGGAGGAGCCCTTGGCGGCCACCGAGGCCCAGGCCCTGGAGCTCCTGGAGGAGAAGCAGGACCTCATCTGCCGGAGCCTGGAAGGCATAGAGCTGGGCATTGCCGAAGGCCAGGTACTCCGAGGGCTCGGAGGGAGGGG